AAAATTAAAAAGTTGCTTCGGAGGAACAATATAAAGAGTGACTACAAAATAAGGGAGTAAAGTGCAGTACTATAAACTGCGATAGAACACATTGTAGACGAAAATATAAATGAATGAATGAAAGCAGCTGTAAAAAAGTGCAGCCTTCAAACAAAATGGGAATTATTTGAAATTGCAAATGAAGTAGTTAATTCTTAAAATGCACACACAAACAACGAGCACAAGGATTACTTTGAAAAGATGAAAAACAACTGTTAAAACCTGAGAATATTACTTTAAATCAATATGAAACAAAAACCTTCAACAAAAAAAATTAAGAAATAATTTAGACAAAACCAACCATGAAAATTTTAGTGAAAAAATCAATGAAATGTCAGACTAAATTATCCTAACTGTGACACCGAGCACAACAGAAAGCATTAAATGGAAAACTAGTAAAGAAATAAAGTAATTTTTAAAATTGTTAGAATAAGTATATTATTCGAATTCTAGTAAAAAAAGAAAGAAATTGCCAAGAAATCATAGAAAGTGTTAAGACGAAAACTGGACAAATACACAAAGTTTAGGTTAGAAACAAATTACAAATGAACACCACGCAAACATTGCAAAAAAATTAGTTCTTGGAAAGAGGATCTTGAAAAGAAGTATTAAGAACAAAACTAGACAAATGGACGAACTTTAGTTTGTCTATTTAAATTTAACGAGGAATATAACAGCAAAGTAAATTAAAAATGAGGCCAATACAAAAATTGCAGAAAAATTAATTTAGAAAATTTTAAAGATTGTCACTAGGATGACATTTTTGTTCGATCTAAGCTTCCTCATTCTGTTTATTTTGGAATTTAATAACTCCTTTATAGTGTTAATTTGGGGCTTTTAGAACTTTTAGACTTTTTCAGTCAACAAAATAAACACTTGACCTTAGATTAGAAAGGTTTATTGAATGAACCTTCACAAATCTTTTATAATTTATTTTATACCCAGTATGTTCGCAAAAATATCAAAGCAAATAAGAAAAACACATGAAACACAGTGCCTATGGGTATAAGAAATAATAAAGTATAAAATGGAAAGAACTGAAAAATATCAAGAAAGGAACGAAAGATATTGTAACGGAAATGGCCTGGGGTACTCACGTTTGGAATGGGGGATCGAAATTCATGGTATTTCAGTAAATGGGAGCCCAGCCCCATTTGGGCCCCATTTACTGTCAAATATGACACTGACGAGCGGGAAGTTTCGCACCTGTTCTGGAGATTTCTAGAACTATCTGGAATACCTGGAGAAAAGGATATAAGCGACGACGAGAACCAGACGGGGGAGAGTGAAGTGACAGCCGCGCCTGAGTGCAGAAGAAGTTAAACCCGCGAGTCGGAAATCCGTGTTTTCCGTGTGTTATTGTTATCGTTTGTGAAGTTGACATTAATTTTAGAAGTTAGTTTGTTCCTGTTCCGTAGTTAAAGTTGTACCGAGTGGAATAAAAGTTGTAACCAGAAGAAAGAGTTTTAATACTCGGCCATCCACGGTACAATATCAAAAAATTTGCCAATGAAAGAAGTAACAACCCATGCAAAATCATTCGCTATAAATCAGTGAAACTTTTCAAACTTATCAATTAAGATAAAATCAAAATTTCGAGAAAACAGAGGAATATTAACAATCAGAAGCAGAATAGAGAGCGCACAACCAAGTATTAAATAGAAAACTAGCAGAGAAAGAAAACAATTTAAAAATTTGTTAGAATAAGTAAATTAAGCATCAAAAAGCCCAGCTTTCAAGAAAAATCTGAAAAACAAGTGTTAAGAACAAAACCAAACAAATAGACAACGTTTAGTATAGAAACAAATAAAAAATTAACACAACGCAAACATTGCAAAAAAATTAATTTAGTCGAATTCTGGTAACAAAATAGTTAAATTGTAAAGAAAACATAAAAACTTGCCTGTCAAGAGAAACTTGGAAATCAAGTGTTAAGAACCAAACTAGACAAATAGACAAAGTTTAGTTTAGAAAGAAATTGAAAATTAACACAACGCAAACATTGTAAAGAAATAAATTTTGTCGAATTCCATATTAGAAAATAATGAAATTGCAAATAAAACTCGAAAAAAGCTTAGCGTTCAAGAAAAATTGCGAAAACAAGTGTTAGAACAAAACTAGATAAATACACAAATTTTAGTTATGAAACAGATTAAAAATGAATACATCGCAAACGTTGCAGGGAAATAGATTTAGACGCATTCTAGTAGCAAAATAATGAAATTGCAAATAAAACATAAAAAGGCTCACGTTTCAAGAGAAATATTGAAAGCAAATGTTAAGAAGAAAACTAGACAAACAGAGAAACTTCAGTTTGTCTATTTAAATTTATTGAGGATTATAACAGCGAAACAAATTAAAAATGAACACAACGCAAACATTGCAAAAACTTCGTTCAGAAAGTTTTGAAAATAGCCATTAGAATAGCATTTTAATTAAATTGAAATTGGCTCATTCCGTTGATTTTGGAATTTAAAAACTGCTATCTTGTATCCTAAGGTGTGGCTTTTAGAAAACCGTTGTGACTTTTTCAGACAACATAATAATCACTCCACCCGAGAGTAGAGAGTTTTATTGAATGAACCTTCATAAAACTCGAATAATTTATGCAATAATCACTATTTTCGCAAAAATTTCAACGGTAGACCTTTGACAGTTAAATAAAAGCAAACCTTTTATAAGACACCCGTCGATCCGATTAACATTTCAGTAGGTGACATTTTACGTTGCTTTAAGCGCACCAAATAGAGCTTTCAATGCCACTTGATCAAACGTGCGAAACAGATTAAAGCGTCGTAGTGTCATAAAAGCGCTTCAAAGGAATCTGAAAAATGTCGAACTTATTTCGATGGCAGGAAGGTCTATTAGCAAAATCGGAAATTTCGGAATTCCCCGGAGAATATTCAAGACGTGTTCTACGGCACTTAATAGACTTATAAGGGTTAATTGTGTCAAAGGGCTTCGCAATTTCGTCTGATACTAGTTCACTTTCCTCCCATTTATTCTGCTTCTATTAATATTATTAATATTATATTCTTTTGTTGTTCCCATTGAAAGTCTCCTTTAGTTATTTCACTCTTAATTACGAAATCAAAATTCTATTCCATCCTGAAAACTAATTCAGTCCAGAAGAGAATATTGCCAGCTTTAAACTGTCATATTAAATTAATGCTGAGTAATTATGGAAACCATTAAAAATTAAATAGATATTCTTTGGGACACCGACTTATTGAACGAGATTTTAATTATGTTCTAAGTCGTGCTTAGCTGAGGGAAGCAGATACTCATTAAAATTCGAAAAGTGTAGTCTATTGCGTGCAACTCAACTCCTTTAATTAAAGAAAATGAACACTTCAACACGATACTTTCCTCCGGGCCAGAATCCCTTATTAGCAGGAAGAGACGTTAGTGTTTTGGGAATGTGATATTGCTCCCGGTTATAGAAAATCCATATTTTTCGTTGGGATTTTTGCTCGGCTCGCGCTAATCGAGTGCTGGACTTAGTTTGCTCTTTTTTCTTTCTCTTGTTTTGCGATTTTGTGTTAATATCGAACGCATTGATTTTTATCGCGCGCCTTGGCTGCATTGCATAATAATTCAATGTGGGTTACAAGGCAATAGTAGCAGGTTCACAAAGTACTAGACGATATTCAGCTTGCAAATAAGGTGGCCTAGTTTCATGATTAAGTAAGTTCGAGCATTATCGAGGCAAATAATTTGCCTCTGACATGCTTTGGCAGACAAAAACAATTATCGCTCAAACGGGACTTAATGATTAATCAGATGATAATTCGAACATAAACTATCTTATAATTAATTGGATGATGAATTGATTATTGTTTTCCTACTATCTGAGACGTTGATTAGAATGTATTTGTGTAAGTAAGTTGGAAATGAGTGCATAGGGCGTATTAAGCAAACTAAGGAATGATTTAGACAAAACTCGTTGAACGACGAACATTTTAAAGAATAGTGAAAAGATCAAAATGTCACACAAACTACCTTGACTGTGTCTGTAAAACAGAGCCTTAAATTAAAAACGGTTAGTAAGGAGAAACATTCGTACATACCTTGGGATAAGAAATTAAATTAACTAGACGAATGTTATTAACAAAAGAGTGGAACGCAAAGGAAACATCAGGCAAACAGCTACTAGCTTTGATCAGTGGAGACAACAGCAGTTCAGAATTATAAATATATTTACTAACGACTTTGTTCAGATATTCCCAAAGTCCCCGAGAGTAATAGTCAGTATTACAAACCAAATTACAATTCAGTATGTGAAAATCATGCCAAGTTTGTAAATTTAACGTAGAAAAGTGCTCGGTCCAATGCACAACGTTGGTTCATTGTCATTTATTCATACGATTTTGCTATATCAGCAGAAAACCTCGTTAACTAAGCAGATTAAAACTGAATACAGCGACAAAAACAAATTAAGGATATAAGGGGGTGAGCCAAAGTTTTTACAGAAATGTATTCAACATATTTGCAAAAGTATCATTAAGACCTGAATAAAACTTCTAAAGTTAGTGAATTTTTAATTTAGCTCCATGTCATAATTTCACAGTTTATGATTCCGCTTCAATTCATTCAACAGGCAATTAAAGTGAAATTTAAGATATTTGTATCGAATAGTTGCACCCAAATGCCTGAACGCGATACTATTAATGATACGTATTGAATTAGGGACCTAAGAAAATTAACTCACATCAAGCAAATTAAGGAATAATTAATACAAAACCAGTTGACCCACGAACATTTTAATGAATAGATAAAGGAGCAAAAAACCAGCCTAACTATTTTAACTGTGTCTGTAAAACAGAGCGCAAAACAAAGGTTGAAAGGGATAAGCTGTGATTTAACGAATAGAAACAAAGGAGATAATTAGACACAACCAGTTAAGAATTATGAAAAGTTATACTAACCACCTTTTTTTATTTATTAACGTCTAAGGAAATCCATAGAAACTAAACGAAATATTCAATACTAAATGCCAAATTATACATCAATATGGGCAAATCACGTCAAATTCAGAAATTTTACGAATAAAAGTGCTCGGTCCGATCTAGAAGGTTAGTTCATTGCTATTTTCCCATAACATTTCACTCATAACTTCAGAGAACCTCCTTCACTAATCAATGAATACAACAGCAAAACAGTTTAAAACTGAATACAGCGACAAATTAAGAATATATGAAAGTGCGACAAACATAGCATAAAATTTGTTTGGCATATTTCAAAAATTATTGTTCAGACCTGCATAAAGCGTCTATAATTAGAGAATATTTAATTTGAGTCTATGTTATATCAGCAGAATGTATGATTCGCCTTTTATTTTCAACAAGTGATTAAATTGAAATATGATGCTATTTTGAGTGAACTTTTGCTCTTAAATCAATGTCTGAGAACAGTAATGTTGTAATAAAATTAATGCAATTAGAGAACTGAGAAAATTAACTCACTATTTGGAAATTAAGAAACGGTTAGGACGAGACCAATTAAACGACGAACCTTTTAGTGAACAAATAAAGGATCAAAACTATACTAAAATAGTTCTACTGTGGCTGCAAAACAAAGCCTGAAAGCGAAAACTAGTAGAGGAGAAAAAAATTCGTAAGAGTCTTAGAACAAGGAAATAAAATAATTATCCGAATTATTCCAACAAAAGTATAGAATGCATGGAAAACATCAAGGAACAGTTTCCATAATTGAAAACCTCCAAAAGTTGAAAATTATATGACGAACATTTCCGTTAATAAAACTTATTCTTTGAACATTTGCATTTCCATTTATTTAATTCACTCAGTTATGACACATTTTATACATTTTTGCTCTGCACAGACTCTTTAAGAAGTGTTGGCTTTAAAAGACGGTCTCTAATTTTGTTTCAAAACCCTTTGAGTTCCTTATTAGGAGACCGAAAGATTCCGTCAATGTTTGTGGCAGGATCCAGTCAACACCTGACAAAACAGTTGTTGTATTATTGAACTCTGACATACCGAGTGGTAGAATCTTATGTTTATTTAAATAAAATCGCCTTCAACAACGCGATTTTTAAAACTATTGACTTTGGAGTAAGAAATGCGACTGTAAAGGTCGATTGTTTTTGTTTAAAATGCAGATGCTCAGTTTTAGTTGCACGCAACTAAAAAAGTGTGATTTGAAGTCGTTGAAAATTCAGTATGAAAGTTTAAATTTTGAGCTGGAAATTATCATATTGAATGTGATTTGTTGGAATGCATGTATTAGGTGGAAACAAGCAAATTTTGCAGTTCACAACGTAAAATAAAACCAACCTATTTTGTAACCTTTTAAAGCAAAAATCCGCATAAATTGCCCAAAAATATAGTAATTGACCCGAAGCTCAAAATTCAGTCTATAAAAGTGTTCGTTTCAAAAGTTGCCAACTTTGTCCTTTCATTTAGTTTCCGTTAATATTGATATTGAACTGATTCAAGATTTAATGTCAATATAACGCTGTAGAGCTTTTCAAGCTTAAAATAGTAATTTCATGATGTTTCCTGAAACTAAAGTTGTCGAATTACAGAGCTGGTGCTTGTTCCTCTCGAATAAAAAAATCATGAGATACTTAGGAAAACGCATATATTAAAAGCATCAAAGTTTCAATGCCTCTAGGCCGGTTATAGTTCAGCCCCGTTCTGCATCAAATAGTCGTTTTCTGACGACTACTTTAGCTCACTATAAGTACATAAATTAAGCTAAAATGATGGATTTAATCCACAGGTGATTCATAATCAACGTCTCTGAACGGCCATAGAAAAACCGAAAGCAGTTTTTGACTACGATCACAACAAAATCACAAACTTTCAGTCTAAACTTTATGAAGAAACAGTTTTAGATTCATTGCTTAAAATTTCCAGCAAAACTGGATCTTCCGCAATTTTCCTTCATGTCCATCTTGCTGTGGGGACGGGAAACAAACGCAACAAACAGAGCCTTTAAATACATTATCAAAATACATTTATTTTGTGGGAAGTGGGTGAAGGATGAAGAACATAGTCCGGAAATCGAAGCCAAGTATGGAAATATGGCCCAAGCAAAAATTGAAAAATTTACAAAAATTTCATGTGCAGATTAAGCAACTGCCCTTGCTAAATTCGCAGAAGAACCACAGATATTTTTAAACCACCTGAACGTTCTGTGAACAGAATAGAAGCTGAAAACGAGCACTAAAAAGGAATTTGTACGAAAACTAGTTAAAACCGAAACCCACAAGCAAATGTAATGCAAACCAGCGGATTACAAAACAAACCACTAAAAAATAATATACGTTTAAAACAATAGTTCTATGGATTGGACGGCTAGATACTGAAAGAAGAATGTCTAAAGAAACGACAATTCTTCGGGATAAAATGTTATCAAAGAAGTTATATAAGTTCCCTAAATAGTTCCCTAACCCGATAAGACTAATGGAAACATATTTATTTAAGATGATAAAAATAATAATGGAAGGGCAAACGAGAGAAAAACTGATTGGTGCAGCAGATGGTAAGAGTATAAGATGAAAATTTAAGTGTGGGTTATTGGTCCATTTCAAGCGAGCACTAATAAAGTGAGGCACTGGAAGAAGCAAAAGATGATTTAGGTAACAAAATTCTAGTTGAAGGCGGAAAGCTGTGTCTTTGACACGAAAAGTTCAATTTGTCCTTCATATTTGAATTATTTTTATACAAAATAAATTATGTACCTACAACTCTGTAATTGTGCAAGGATTCGCACGTATCATCTCGACTTTTTCAGCTGATTTTATTCAGTATTTGAATCCACAGTTTCAATGCCACTATAAAATATTATATTGGCAAGTTAGCGTTTATCTTCCGGAAAATTTCTACCAGGAATTATAATTGAGACAACAATGCCTCTCTTAGCTTTTATGAAGTTTTTTGGCTTTTCAGCAATGTTTGTCAAAGTTCTCCAACAAGTTTTCAAGTTTATGTATTTAGTTGTCAGAATCTTAAACTAAAGACCAAAACTTTCATGGACACTTTGGGAAAATTCTCAATTATTTCCTTGTCCAACCGGTAAATTTTTGCATGTGCCTAAATAAATAACTAATTTTCACTCACCCAATCGCGAGCAAATTTCCAACTTAAACCCAGTCAATTGCACCAATCACCTAAACGCGACGCAACTTGAAACTTTTCAATTTCGCGCGTAATGCAAAATTTCCAGCCAACGCTATTCGATTACGGAAAAGCTCAATTGGAACATCGTAACGATACTAACGTTAACATACACCGTCGGCGTCGGGGCGCTAAACCATTGCGCACGCTCAGCCCGAACTCTTTTTCGACTCCTGCATGTACAAGACGTTCGCATTAGTGCTGGAAAACCGAAAAAGCGGACAGAGCAGAATGTAACACGAATTAACTCCTCGTTGATAAGATAAATGCAAACATGGCGAAGGTAAAGTTAACAGAATCGCCGCCGAACAGAACTACTGGGTAGTTTAAAGGAATTTCCTAAAATATTTTTGTTATTTGCGCACCTCAGCGTGGTGCTTCTGGCTCGGTGTATTACTAAATAAATCCCCTGTTTGCATTTTTTGTCGATCAAGAACAGCAGGCAAATAATGCTCAAGAAATACATTTGCAAGGGAATCAAAGTCGAGCAAACATTGCTCGCCTGGAGTTTTATTTGCAAATGTACGTCCTTTTTTTGGGGGGGCACCCAAAAGCCAGAACTCATCCAGTGGAGAGGTTCCAGTCAACTGGAAGAAAGCGTTTAAAAATAGCAGGACTCTGTACACAGAGGCTTGACGTTGCCTCACTCAGAAGAGTTGATGATAAATGCTTCATTAGCACATGACCAGAGAATCAGAAGTAATCAGCAGGGACAAGCATCATTGGCGATTCAGATGAACAATCTTAACAGCTGGAACTTTAAACTTTTGGTCATCAGCAAACAATACGAAGAAATCAAAACGCCAATGGAAAGTGCGGGAGTGGAGTGCAACCAAAAGTCCAACAAATTATGGCTGATTTACGATCCCACGATTGTTAAATAAAAAATGATCAAACATCAAACACTTTTCGGCCAGAGTAATTCGAAATTAATTCAGTGCTAATGAGAAATTATCTCTTTCAACAGCAAACTTTAAGATTTTAAGGAATGAGGCTCCTTGTCGCGCTCAAATTCATGAACCGACTCATTCTGTATTTTGGCTACTTGATCCCTTAAACCTTGTGGATTAGCAATTTTAGGTTTCGATGCTTGTTCTGAATTACGCCGATTAGGCAGAACGGTTTTGTTGAGAAAATCTGCGGTAATTTTTCCGCATTTGTCAACTTACTATCGGCCGTCTGATGTTTAGAATTAATTATTTTCGTAATCGGTGGTTAGAATTGGAAGTTGGCTTCTATTTCCCATGCCTGGATGGAACATTAACAAGAAATTTTATAAGAAATTACGAAGTTTGACGTTGATGAAACATGAACAGAAGATTAAGAAGAAGATGAAAGAAGATATTTAGATAGTGTGTGGAAACTGAAACTTCCATGCAACAAACTCACAGTAACCATAATCACTGAGCGTTAATCCTGATCTAAATTTCCCGTCCTCAACTCGAAGATAAGTTAATTCTATTAAAATCCCAATTAGATTTCTGTCTATTGAAATTACATGTGCGAGCACATTTCCAATGGTGCGGTGAGTGTAATCGCGGATTCAGCAATTTTGAGGGAAGCGTGGTTTTTTTCAATTTTCCGGGATTTAAATATGTATTTACTGCAAAGCGTGCACAACAAAACAACACTGAAACAATCGGAAACATTTACTTTATACTATTGGGGCTCAAATTTTTGTTATGAAAATTGTACATATCCTATGGCCGTTTTCATTACTGTTCATTGTTTTCCATCAGATGTAACTTTAATCTGCTCTTGGGACTATGCAAAATAGCATTCGATTGTATGTGTTTATATTATAATTGTTAAGAATAATTAGAAAACAGTATATTGTTTCCAAATAATTTATATTTTTGTGTTTTAACGCTAAACTTTTTGCTTTTCATATACATTTGACTATTATCCATTCAGTATGTTTTCGTTTAACTAAAAATTGTGGGTTTAAACTTACTGCAGACGGAAATTTGGCAACAGAGGTAGCAGAACATATGCAGAATATAGAATATCCGGTTTGGGGATTAATTTTCGTGATTCCCCAAGTTTATTTCCGGGAATCCGATTGCAAAACAGCATGTTCTATTCAGATGGGGCTAAAACAACGTATCTATTTCTCCATTTATTATTGTTTCATTTGCTTTTGCTGTTTAAGATAGGAAATATCACTTTAAAAAATCTATTGAAAAACTGTTTGCAATTGTTCAATTTCACAGTTTGAGTTTTCAATAAAATTGAGGATAAAGTTTCAACTGGTATCACAAATTTTAATTCCATATAAGTCCACATTTTTCCGCAGTTTAAGAAAACTGTCGCAAGAAGTATACGTACAAAGATTTTTCAAATGGGTGCCAGACGAACAAACGAAAATCACCGAAAACCGAAGAAATAATGTAAATAACAGAAGCGAATGCAAAAATGGCTTAAAACAGTAGTGAGAATCACAATAAACGATGCTGCATAAATAGCAAAATATTAGCATATATTATTATTAGAGGCGATTGTAAGAGTGACTGAGAATAATATTGTAACGGAAATGGCCTGGGGTACTCAGGTTTGGAATGGGGGATCGAAATTCATGGTATTTCAGTAAATGGGAGCCCCATTTGGGCCCCATTTACTGTCAAATATGACGCTGACAAGCGGGAAGTTTCGCACCTGTTCTGGAGATTTTGAGAACTATCGGGGTACCTGGAGAAAACTATATAAGCGACGAGGAGAACCAGACAGGGAGAGTGAAGTGACAGCAACGACCGGGTGCAGAAGAGAGTTAACCCCGCGAGTCGGAAAAGCGAGTTTTCCGCCTGTTATTGTTACTGTTTGTGAAGTTGACGGTAATTTTGAAGCTAGTTTGTTCCTGTTCCGTAGTTAAAGTTATACCGAGTGGAATAAAAGTTGGAAGAAGAAGAAAGAGTTGGATACTCGGCCATCCACGGTACAATATAAAACTATCCAGACAGGAACCAGAATCACACTGAAGACGCAAGAACTTATATAAATGAAGGAGGCAAATACATACATAAATCTGCTCAAAGAATAAATGCAGAAAGTTTCAAAGTAGACCACACCAAGAAATGAAAATCGCTGAAAACCCCAGAAATAATATAAATGAAAGAGGCGAATACGTACATCAAACTGCTAAAAGAAAAAATGAAGAAACTTTTAAAGTGGACCTGACTCAGAAACGAAAATCACTGCAGACTTAAGAAATACTGTAAAGGAAAGATGCGCATGCAAAAATGATTTATACAGAACAAACTGACTTCAACAGAACAAAATCTAAAGAAGAGTCGTAAACACAATCATAAATATACACTTAGCAGAATACATAAAACTTTTAGATTTTTAGTCTAGTTTATTACTTCAGAAACTTTTAAAGTAGTCCAGATCAACAAACGAACATAACTGTAGACCTAATAAATAATGTAAATGAAACAAAAAATAATAAAATAAAACAAAAGGGTGTGAGTGCAAAACACAATAAGAGATGCACAATTAGCAGAAAAAAAATTATTTTTCGAGCAAAATAATTACAGTTATTAATAACTTTTTCTATAAAAGGACTGACTTGAGTTTAGTTTACCACTAGAGTATTCTAGAAATATGCGAAAATAATTGCGCGAATAATTCCCTTATTAACTTAAAAAACCGCCGGTATTTTGTGAAAATATCAAAGCGTTAAAGTTTAATATTTAAACCTGCACATGCAAATCATTCATCCGTTAATGGCATCTAATGGAAAAATAATCCACCAAAATTTAGTGAGTTTTCCACCGAATGACACTAAAAGTAATCTTTCAAAATATGGAGCCAAAAATACGCGTGATTCGAGCGGCAGTTATTAAAATTATTAATAATGGAACGCGGTTGTTTCCTTTGCGAAATTGGATTAATTAGCCACTGAACGTTTTCGATTAGAACTAGCGCACTTAAGCTAATTTCATATTCTGTTAGCATTTGATTTATCAAACCCTTAAGATCAGTATTGTGGCAACAGCATGAATATTCATCACAGTTTCAAATCGGGTCAAAATCCGGAACTTGGTTTGCAGTATAAATTTACAACAAATAATTATTAACTTCATTACTTATTCATCCGAGGAATTTGATTATGCGATTCGTAATTGATCAACATAGCACATTTTGCAAACTTCGTTAAAACATTAACGACATGTTGATGCATTCGGACCGGCAAATCCGATTTTACATTGTGCATTTGTAATCGAAAATTCTCATTTTCCGAGTGGAGAGCCATCCTTTGTTTTTCTAGATCTTTAAGAACTTCATTATGGCGAAGTTCATGAATATGCAATGTGAGTCGGATTAGGGCCGACATTACAAGTGGATTTAGCACTAGACGGTAACCATCATTATACAGAATGAAATTTTAGTTTTATTTTTTATGGACGAAATTAAATGCGAGATAATTTTTTATTACTTTTTTAATAAGCTGTACGATGCTTCTGGGGCGATAACTGCAAGATGCTGTTAATACGTTATAATATAATTCACTCATACAGGGTGATTCCAAATTGGCTCACTTATAGAGTACGAGAAAAATATTGAAATTTTTTTTCGATAATTTGTAGGACACATTAACAGTAAAAAATTGAATTTCATCTTTGTTATTAAGCATTATTTTCCAGAGGTCCCACGTTTGATTGGAAGACTATTGGAATACTTTGGAATAATTTTTGATATTAAAAACGTTCTCTTCTACAAGTTCTTGATGAAAAGTCAAAGCGGCAATGATGTTTTTTTCTCATCAACAGATAGTTTTTTTCAATAATAACAATAATTTGTCAAACTGCGACTTACTTTGAAGCTGCTTTCACGAATTTGCTGATATGCGATTAGTTCAGGGGAAATGCTGATAACATAGCAGAAGCTGAAAGAAGTCACGTCAACAAAGGGCGAGGAGAGTGGTTCCAGGAAGATAGTGGACGACAATCGATGTTCCGGTTCCAGACACAGAGGAACAAGTATTGGATATAATTGCAGCAGAGCCTTTCCCAGGTACCAAATAAATACCAGGAAGGGCTACAATTCCTACCACGTATGTAAGATACACACAGCACAAGGACCACTACCACATGGATTATACCATTGGATT